AGATGGAGGGTCGAGGACGTCAATCCGACACCTGGCTTGTGCAAGAGCAAGTGCGCCTGGACAAGCCGTCCCCAGCTCACAGTTTGCACTGGCCATGACCGCGGCCCACTACCCCACACACCCCCTACACCCTCACCCCCCCACACACACACACTCACATCCACGTAACCGTCCTCCGCTAACCTGATGTCCCCGCATCCATCGTATCGCAGGGTGCTGCGGCAGCAGACGTTTGGGTCAACGCGCGTTGACTTTGTGCTGGAGAGGGAGGGCGGCGGCCTGCTGCTGCTCGAGGTGCGGCGCCGCCGCCACTGTGCGAGGTCGTGCGCCGCCACGCAACGTGGTCGCTTTGTGATGGCGAGCACTGCCTGCTGTTGATTTGCCGGGTGACGGGGTATTGTGGTGCGGCATGATGTGGCGCTGTGTGAAGTCATGCATGTGGGGAGGGAACCAAGCGCCAGCAATCTCTCCTGAGCCAAGGGGCTGACGTTTCTGGGCGTTTCGCTGGTGGACCGCGGTGCCACAAGGGGGCAGGGGCGCGGGCGAGCGCACGAGACGGGGGCGGACGCAGGCCCTGCTGTTGTGCGGTTTGACGGGCAGCAGAACAGCAGTGAGCATTTGCGTCCAGGATCCGGGATTGAGGAACGGCTGTGTGGCGCGCTTGGAAACCCTCTACCCCGCCGCTCCTGCTCACCCCGTCCGCGTCCCATGCATTCCCCAGGTGAAGAACGTGGTGTGTGCAGACTACCCAGATGGGGGTGTCCCTGAAGGCAGGTCCAAGGTAGGCTGTGCTTCTGCTGTAGGCCCGCCTCACTCTTCGGTCCTGTGGGGGTTCGCATTCTCAACCTATGCGTACACACCTCCAGTCTCAATGTTCATTGGGCCCCCAAAAACTCATGAGTGGCCAGCAAAATCAAACCCCTGACCTCTATCGCTTTCTGCTATTTCCACTGTACCCGCTCTGTTCTCGTAACCGCCTCCCCAACAGGTTGGCGTCTACACGTCACCAGCCAAGCCCTACGTTCGCACCGCGATCTTCCCCCACGGCGCCCAGAAGAAGGCCATCGGTGTCGTGTCAGACAGGTGGGGCGCGGCGCTCGCTGCCCTCAATCAGCCATCAAAAATCACCAGGGCAAAACCATTCGTGCTGCTCTCATGTATAATTTGAATTGAGCGCCTTGAAGGCGGCCCCCCTGGCAGCAGCCTTGGCTCTGGGCGCGACAACACCGCGCGCCGCCCCATCAGCAGCCCTCCCCTTGCGCCTCACCTTGCACTCCGGCGTTGCTGATGATGCCACCGTGACCTCATGGCCTCTGTTGGCTGCTCTTGTATTCATGCTGCTGCGTTTGTTATTGTGCTGCACCGTCCCAGAGCCATCAAGCACCTGCATGAGCTCACGCTACTGCAGCGCCAAGGGGCAGTCCAGCCGCCGCCGCGGCTCGCGGCCGCGCTCAGCAGCGGCGGCGGCGGCGGCGGCGGTGGCGGCAGCGGCGTGACCGTCGACGCAGACGGGCGGGTGCCTGCGCAGGCGGCTGTGCTGTTTGTGGTCAACAGGTGGGCACGGCCGCCCCAAACGCCCCGGCCGCATGGCACGGAGAGGCTGGCAATGGATTAGCTGGCATTGGATTACTGGAGGAAGGGCGGCGGCTGGTGTTGAGCTGATTCCCGCAACAAACACTCACTCAGTTGATGCCGTGACTCCTGATCATGGAAACCCTGCGCTGCCCTCAATAACAACGGAAGCGCCGGCAGCCAGCACACACACTTGCGCCGCACGTCCATCTCTCGCCCCCCGCATCCTCTGCCCCTCGCATTCACCCCAAACTCCCCTTTTGTGCACGCAGGCCCGACTGCGAGGCCTTCCGGCCCTGCCACGAGGCGTGCCCCATGCTGGCGCGCGTGCTGCGCAGGGCGGAGGACGCGGGGGTGGCGGTGCTGGCCTACTCAATTGACTGGGAGGTGAGGGGGCGCGGGGGGCGGCTGTAATGATAGCGCGCAGGGGTAAGGGCGGTGCTAGCCTTCAAATGGGCTGCAACGTGCCTGCTGCAGACGGTGTGAACCGCAGGTACTTGCACTCAAGAGTGAGGCCCGCTCATGTTCGTGCGCATGCATCACAAACACTCACACAATCATACACACATACACACACACACACGCGCGCGCGCGCGGCGCGTGCACGCACGCACACACAAAACATGCACGTACTCGTGCGCAACATGCCATCCGCTGTCCCCGCCCAGGGCGGCAAGGCGTTCTGGGGGCGGCGGCTGCCCGTCGTGTATGGCGCTGACGTCAGCGGCGCTGACGTGGACGAGGCCCACTTGGCTCGCGTCCTGGAGTTCAACGCAACTGACCCCCGCACCCACTGGAAGGCGGACAGGCGGTCCCCCAAGACCTCCCCCGCAAAACCCGCCAAATCAAAGGCTGCCGAAACGACTGCAGAGGCAGAGGCTATCGAGGCTGCGGCGCCGGAAGTTGAGGAGTCTCCGAAGCCAAAAGGCAAGAGGAGGGCCGCCAACGCAGGCAAGCATGGGGAGGCGGTGGCGGCTGGCATCGAGGAGGAGGGCGGCGGAGCGGCAGCTGGCGGCATCGGGGGCGCGAAAAAGCGCGGTTCGAAGAGGGCGGCGGCAGCAGCAGGCACGCCCGCACCGGCGACGCCCGAGCAGCCGGCGCGGCGGCGGGGGCGGGCGGTTGCGAGCGACGGCGGAGCTCTGCTTGATGGCGGTGGGCCGGCTGCTGCCGCGTCAGGCTCGCGCGCCAAGCGCACGCGCACACGCGCGTGACAGTGACTATTGATGGTGGTCTCTTCTGGGCATTTATGGCTTGGGCGCTGTCCTCATGTCCTTCAAACACCAAGTCACTGCCTAATCTGCACTTACAAATGCTGCCTGTCCTGTCTGATTATCCTCCATCTGCATGATGCACACACATATATTTGCGAATGTCTAATTACCTCACACCGGCTGGCAACCACCACTGCATTTCATGACCGCATGAGTCATCATCACGCACTCTCCAAGAGCGGTGGCCCCCTCCGCTGGAATCCCGCTGGTCCTTGGATGGCAAATGGCACGACGATCTGCCGCAGCGCCCGCTGCGGCAGCCGGCCCCCGCCCAGCTCCTCGAGTTCGCCCCATGCCCGCACCGCCCGTTTCGCACCCCACGTCCGCACCGACCGTGGACCAGACGGCAAGACGGTTGCACAGGAGGCGCAACTGCGCCAAGCTGGAAAAAGAACAACCACAAACAAAAGGGACAGCCCGGCATCCACCAGCGGGCGGCCACGACGGCAGGCGGCCCCTGACGGCAGCCCTGGGTCGCGCAGCTTCCCTGCAGCTTCCTGCGCCCTCAGCTGTAGTAGTTCTTCGTGATCTTCTTCTTGGCGCTGACCGCGCCGATGCCCTCCACGAAGTCTTCGTGGTTGACCTCGGTGCCGTCCCGCCGCAGCGCCAGCATGCCCGCCTCCACGCACACGGCCTTGAGCTGAGGAGGAGGGGGGTGGTTGGGCGGGTGGTTGATAGTTGTGTGGGGGTGTGTCGGCATGAGAGAGAGTGTGTGTGTGAGTGTTGGAGGGGGAGTGGAGAGTGCGTGTGTGTGTGCGTGTGCGTGTGTGTGTGTGTGTGTGTGTGTGTGTGTGTGTGTGCGCGCGCGCGCGCGCATGTGCGCGCGCGTGCGTGCGCGTTGAAGGGAGTGTTGTGAGGGCGACTCGACGCGACCAAGACCAAGTGCCCCTGGGAGCCGCAGTCGAGCGAGCGCAGCGCCTGTGGACCAGGGGGTCGGCAGCGAGACGACCCAGCAGGCCCAGGCTTTGGACCATGTTACGCCGTCGGTATTCATCAGCATGCACTTAGGCCAATGGAGAAGCTTGTTGATGGCAGGGCCTGTCAAGCAAGTCGCTTCAGCCTGCCACGCTCAAAGTGCAAAGGGGATGGCGCGACCCTCCGCTCGCCCCACCTGCGCCGCGTTGAAGTCGTCCGAGCTGCGCGCCAGCTCCTCAAAGTTCACGTCAGAGCCCACGTTCATCTTGCGGCTGGAAGGGGGGGGGCGCGGCGGGGGGGTGGGCAGTCGTTGAACTTTGGCATCAAGGTTCGCGCGGTGCCAGGGGAGAGGTTCGGCAGCGGTATAGACCGACATATAGGGTACCCCGGCCTTCAACATACAACCAAACACACGCACATACAATCGTACACACACACATCAACACAAACACACACACACACACACATGGCAACGACACACCCAAACACAATACACACACACACAGAGACAATGCACTCACGCATACACACCATCACCACAACCCCCCCAGCCCCACCTGTGAATCCGGATGATCTTGGCGCGCGCGTCCTCTGTGGGGTGGGGGAACTCGATCTTCCTGTCCAGCCGCCCGGACCGCAGTAGAGCGGGGTCAAGGATGTCCGCGCGGTTGGTGGCCGCGATGACCTGGCGGCGGTTGATGGCGGTTGGCGGTCGCGGGGCGGCGGTTCCGGTTTTGAAGGGTGTGTGTGTGTGCGAGGCGTGCAGGGATGCGCTGGGGCGCAGTGACATGGACAGGCTTGGCCGCTGCTTGGGCCCGGAGGGATCTGGCAGGCTGGCGAACTGGATTGATGGGGAGACGAGGCCAGGCTCAGGAGGCGCGATGTGGAAGCAGAACGGTGATGGGCCATGGAAGCAAGGCCGTGCCTCCAGCCACTGTTCCAGGAATACGCTACCGGTCCCAGCTCCGCGCTCCCTCAAGCGCCCCGCTCATTCACACGGCACCCGCCCTCGCGCCCCCGTGCGCCGCCGCCGCAACTTCACGCGCGCCCCAATCTCC